GGGGGAAGGAGGGGTAAGACGTAGCGACGAGGGTGCCTAAAAGGGTTTTTCCTTATCTTCGGCACGCAAGGTTGACGGAAAAGAGCTCCCCCCCCCCGCTCTTCCTTCCCTCACGCGGTCCCCCTACCAGCCCGATTTCGACACGCGGTGGTGTCGGGGTTCGGTTTCGGAGCGCATCCTGACCCCCTTCGTGGAGCGGCTCAAGTCCCGCGGGGTGGTGGTTCTGGGCTCTCGTAAGGTCGTGGGGCTGCAGGAGGCGCCGGAGGTCCGGACGGGCAGGCAGGGCAGGTGCGTGGCCCTGTGTGTATGTACTTCGGTATGTACCTATGTATGTATGTATGTATGTATGTATATATGTATGTATGTATGTATGTATGTATGTATGTATGTATGTATGTATGTATGTATGTATGTATGTATGTATGTATGTATGTATGTATGTATGTATGTATGTATGTATGTATGTATGTATGTATGTATGTGAGCGTGCAATTAGGGGTTTGTTTGGGTTGCGGCCTTGGGTGTGGGCGGAAGGTGTACAGAACACACACGTGTATGTGCTTCTTCCAAGAGATACTGCAGCTACTGCAGCTACTGCTACTGCTGAGGCGGTTTGGCCGGAAGGGGTGTTGGACAGCCAGCATGGCGACCGAGACGCAACGGCGCAGTGATTGCAGCGGTGTGGCGGCGGCGGCGGCGGCGGCGGCGGCCTGGGTAACACCGCATTCGAACCGAACCGCCCGCGTAACATTCATTTTCCGGCACGGCGTGGCCGTCGTGCGCAAGCGTGTGCGTGTGTGTATGTGTTCGGCCTGTGGCCTGCTTCCTTGACAACCCCCAGTCTTACCCCACTAACCCGAGTGGGGTAAAACCCTAACCCCAGAGTGGCTTGTTCCATACCCCCTACCCCCACTCACAGACATACGTACATGTCCACACACCTGTTTTACCCCTCTTCCCTCCCCACCCCCCATCCCCCACACAAGCCACCCCCGCCCCCAATGTCGTTACGCTTATCCCCCTCCCTCCCTCCCTCCCCCCCCCTCCCTCCCTCCCTCCCTCCCTCCATACACACACACACAGGCTCCGTGTCAGCACCCCGGACGGGGGCGCTGAGGACTGGCGCGCAGACGCCTTCGTGTTCGCGGTGGGTGTGGGCGCCATGCAGCGCATCGTGGCCGCCTCCCCGCCCCTGCTGGACCCCCCCTCCGCCCCCGCCCCCGCCTCCTCCTCCTCCTCCTCCTCGCCGAACAGCAGCAGCAGCAGCAGCAGCTCTTTCTTCACAGGTATCGCCAACCTGAGCACCACCGACGTCGCGGCTGTACGGGTGTGGCTGGACGGCAGGGTGCGACCCGCCACCCCCAGTAACGTGCTGGTGGGGTTCGACCCCGGAGTGGGGTCCACGTTGTTCCACCTCAACGAGCTGCAGGTAGTGGGGATGGTGGTTGTGGTTGTGGTTGTGGTGATGGTTGTGGTGGTGATGGGGTTCTGTAATAGCGTGGTGAGCGTTATGGAGGTGGTGATGATGGAGGTGGTGATGGTGGTGATAGTGGAGGTAGTGATGATGGTGGTGATGGTGGTGATGGTGGTGATGGTGGTGATGGTGGAGATGGTGGTGATAGTGGAGGTGGTGGTGGTGGTGATCGCAATGAAAGGGTGTATCCCACGGGGCTGTGTAGTTCTTCGGAGAGGGGCGTAGGGCGGGGGGGGGAGGGAAGGAGGGGATTTGTACCTTCCCTTCCTCCATGCCCGCATGCGTTCATTGAAAAGCTCTTAGGGTTGTATGTTTCCACACATTGGAGCGTCGTGGTTTTAGCCTGAGCCGGTGTGTGTGTGTGTGTGTGTGTGTGTGCGCGTGTGTTTGTGTGTGTTTGTGTGTGTGCGCGTGTTTGTGCGTGATGGGAGGGAGGGTGTGATTAGCTTTTGTGTGTGCTACCTGTCCTACCCCCCTCTCCCGCTCATCCTCCGTTACCCTCGTACGCCGCCTCCTTACCCCCCTCTCCCCCCCCCAACACATACACAGGACGAGTACCGCTCCCCCGACCCCTCCCAGGCCCCCTGTGTGGTTGAGGCGGACTTCTACCACGCCGCCTCCCTGCTCCCCCTCCCGGATCAGGACCTGGTGGACAAGGTGGTACGGCAAATGCTACCCGGTGAGCGGGGGACGGGGGGGGAGTGAGGGGGAACGTTGCGCGGAGGCGGGTGAGGCAGCTGGGTGGGCGGGGACACGACCGGTAGAGTTGGGGGGGGTTTAGGGTTGGGGGGGGTTTCAGGGAGGGAAAGAAGCCCTAGCAAGGCTCCGAGACCGACAGTCTTAGGTGGTTGTCCCCCGTCTGAGGGGGGGGCCCACAAAGGGGGCCGGGGCCGGGAGGTGGCTGCGAACTGAAGACCAAGTCTCCTCCCCCTGCGGACTATGGGCTCATGGCGGGCTCCCCTTCCGAACCTCCCCGGGCCATCGGTGACACAAGCTAACTCACATTGCTTATGAGGAGCCAGAGCTAGATGGCTGTGCGCTAAGACCAGATCTTCGGAGGTTGGACAGGAAGAAGACGATACATCACTGATTGGCGGTCACCCCCCGGGGCGGGTAGAGTGGAGTCGAGTTGCTGCAGTCAAATCAGATCCCACCACAACCCCCCGCGATGGACTCCCTCCCTCCGTCCTTACCAACGTCATACCACGTCAACCGGGAGGCCGCAATACCCCCTCCACCGGGGTCCACTACACTCCCGTGGCTTACGTCCTCTCCCGCCCCCCCCACCCCCACCCCGTCGCGCTTCCATCTCTCCCCATTGTGTTGGTGACGCCGTGTAACGCTCGCAGCCGTGGATCCCGGTGTCATAAGGCCCCGAGTGCTGGATTACAGCGTCCTGAGGTTCCCTGGAGCTGTTAGCCTCTTCTCCCCCGGGTGCGCGGCGCACATGCCCACTGTACGGACGCCGTACGATGGGATTTTCATGGCGGGCGACTGGATACGGCAGGGCCCCGGCACGCACGGAGCCAAGGGTCTGTGTCAGGAGAAGGCCTTTGTCACCGGTCTGCAGGTGTGTGTGTATGTATGTCTGAGTGTGTGTTTTCCCTCAAAACACACGTATTAGCATACGGGAATCTCCACCCCTGTACAACCCCTTTCCCCTCGTCCCCAACCCCAACCCCAACCCTACCACTATTGCCACCACCACCACCACCACCACCACGCCCTCCCCCACAGGCTGGCAACCACGCGGCGGAGGCGGTGGGTTTGCGGCCTCGTGCGCTCGTGCTCCCGGCAGAGGCGGATGAGACCCACATCGCGGCGGGCAGGGAGGCCGTACGGGGTGTACGACATGTGACGGGATCTCTGCTGGGGGGCTCAGCACGGGGCGGGGGGCCGGGGCGGCCACTCGGGGGGGTGACCCTGTTCGGCGGTTGGCGGTGAACACCCAGGGGTGGGACCTGTGGGTCGGTGGGTGGCTGGGGGTGGGTCGGCGGGGGTACGTGAGGGGGGTGAGGTGGGGTAGAACGCGTTGGAACGCGTTGAAAAACCAGTGGTATGTACGGCTTCTGAGATGCGTCCCAAGTTGTTGCGGCTCGTTGCGTATTTGTAAGTAGATAGCGGCGCGTGAAGCACTGGAATGAAAACAAGAGGCAAGAGGTGAAGGACGTTTGTGTTCATGACCCAAGCGGTGTGCTGAGTGCGAAGGAGGTGAAGGAGAGGGAGAGGGAGGGTGTGCTATTATTGTCCGAGTGTGAATTCGGTGGTGGTGAGGGAGGTGGTGTGCGGTTGTTAGAGGTTCTTGGTGAGGTGGTTGTTGGTGGCTTGGAGTGAGTGGGGAGCTGTACTCTTCCCCTTTCCCATTCAGCCTGGGGAAGGGGGAGAAGGTGGGGGAGATTGATGTACCCAGTCTGTCTGTCTGTCGATCTGTCTGTCTGTCAGTAGGGGTTTCAATCTGCGAGTGCTGGAGACTACTGTTCCCGTTTGCCTGGTCGGTTAGTTGGTTGGGTGGTCGGTTGGGTAGTAGAGCCGCGTGTTGTTTGGTGATGCTGTTGCGGCTATAGGGACGCTGGATGTGAGTGATGTGGATGCGAAGTTGCGCGTGGCGATGTCTTTTCCAAATTTCAATTTATTTACTAGTTCTTTGCGGATGGGTGTGGAAAATTAGTCCTCCGCATCAGTGAGTTTCTGGCAGCTGTCGCAAACCTGTACACAGGACGCAAGTTCCGGAGTTACCGTACTCATTTTTCGAAAAGAAAGCTGTTTCCGCGGAGTCTGTCGGAGAAAAGTCCAATGTGGAATTTGCCAATCGCCTATCGGATATGTGTTGGTGGACCGTCATACGGTCACGGCTATATATAATTGTTTCGGTGCACTAACGTGTTGTGAAAAATGTTAAGATCTGAGTGACGATGGTGTTCGATTCATCCTTCTACCCTGATGTTTGTTGCATCCTTCTGAGGCCTTTTGGGCTCGTGTTTTGGGCTTGGCACAGCAGAGACGGTAAGACTGTTTTTTCCAACCGGTGGTTGCGATGATGGCCGTTTTACCCAGGAGCAGTTATCCGCTCTGGGAGTGTGGGAGTGTGAGACGGGGAGCTAACTGCGGTTACGCACAGGAAGAAAGGAAGGAAGGAAGGAAAGGAACTGGTTCTCCGAAACGAGAGTGGAAACAGCTGCTAAATCCAATTTGAGCGGGCGGTGAATGCGGGAAGTAGAGGGCAGGTGGAGCTGGGTGGAGAGATGTTTACCCTGTTGAATTCTTTTCAAGTTTGGCGTTCTGGACTGGATGACAGGGAATGGGATTCCCTGGTGTATTCCCACACAACCTCCCCTGTCAGCACGTGGTGGTCTGTCCAGGTCTGTCTGATGCTGCAAGGAGCAGAGGCGCTGACATTCGCTGAAATGTTGGAGTCACAGTTGCAGTGCCCGCACAAGAACCAGGGCGAACATTACAGTGTCAATGTCATTACAGTGTCGGGGGCGACTGTCGTCGTGTCCGCCCGTTCAGGTTGAGCGCGAAGCGCCGGAGCGCTGCATGTGTGTGATGGCGGTGCGCATGCTGCACCCTTGAAACCCATCAGGTCACTCCCATACTTAGCCCTCAAGCCATCATAAGGCATAAGGCATAAGGGCATTCCCAAAAGACATAACGTAACCCAAGTGGGTCTACCAGTGACAAGTGTCATCACGATTATAGCACCAAGAGCACCATATTTCAAATTCACGCATCATGATAAAAGATAGGCAAGTGCCCATTTGGTTAACCAAATAAGAGCGAAAATGATAATGCCAAGTGGCGAAGTGCCAGAGCCTTAGGAAGTCCTAAGGTAAATATGCAAGTATGCCACAACAATTAGAGATGAGCTGTCTTAAGTGCGGCCAGCTGGTGCTCAGTACCAGCCAGCCAGCCAGCCAGCAAGCCAGCCAGCAAGCTGGTGCCAAAACCATGCCAACACCTGGCCTGGCTTGCGGCATGGATCCCACTGCTTTCACAACATTTATTAACCCACCGTACCACCACACTTAGTGCAACCCCTACCTCAATGCCACGGTAATTGTCACAACAAGACATATCCCCATCCTTAAAGTCGGGGGAGAGGGTGCTAGAGGTGAAGGTTCTCGGGTACTCAGCCCTGGAAACACAATTAAAACAGTGCCGGCAGGTATGGTGCAAACACGAGCACTGGCTATTGTTCCTCACACTCCCCCACTGTGTATTTAACAATTGGTAGTGAGCAGGAGTCCAAGTTGTTAGCCAGCATGAATCCTAATTGATGCGGTTCCTGGCGGGAGACGGCAGGCCCCGCCCACGACCTCTGATCATCCGGGTTGGGGGGATATGAGCATCAATGGTCGAGGACGTCCTCAACTGGCGGTGGGATGGATGTTTTATTCCGGATGTACCGCGGGATGTGCATCCGCCGATCGGTTCTTTTCTGAAGTCGTAGTATAACAATCCCCCCATCGTAGCCTTGTCATGTATGGCAAAGACCGAAGTGCATTTGCGGCCTTCTGTCGTTAGATGGCAGCTGGTGGCCTGCGTCAGCTAGAGCAGAAATTGATTGATGGAAGGCATCTTTGATTCCCTAAAGCCGGTGAAGGGTCTGTCAGCGATGTTTCCATTGGCCGCTTAGGATTGCCAAACAGTGCAATTTTGGAATCGCATCGATGTCTTGCTCGCGAAAATGCTATTCCGCCTTCTTGTATTTGGTGTAGTGTCCCTTGTGGAGCTAGGAGTGTTTGAAGCTGTACAGTAACATTTGTCAGCTGATGAGTGCATGCTGAATATCCATTCCTTAATATCAGGACAGCAGAAACCTTTTTATGCGACTTGAGTCTGTGATTATCGTGTTAAGCAACGACCTCAGGCAAGCAGTTCATAATGAATGCCCTGGCACTGGTCTCGCCGTACGCATATAAGCACGCGGTATAAGAGTTCCTAATGGGAAGAGACGATATAGGAAATGGCGAATCATGCCCTGCAGAACCAGGCCTATTGTGGTACCGGTATTAACTGGCAACTGCAGCTGTTATGTCATCGAAAGGCTTAAGACTTTAGATAGGAGTTGGTTTCACACCATTTCCTTTATTCATATCTGATAATTAATTGGCTGCTCGCGCTGACTTTTCCGCCGATTGATCGCTGATTCGACTGTTCACTTGCAGCCTTTACCGAAGCAATCCCAAATACACCGAACATGTCTAAGATACAGCAAACAGTTCTGGTCACAGGAGGGTCAGGTTACGCGGGGCAGTTTTTGGTACATGCGCTCGCAAAACAATACCAGGTATTGCGCTTGCGTCCCCAGACATACCACTCGAATGCTTGCCTCGAAGCAGATGTTATCTATAGGTAAACCTGCGCTGTCACACACACCCCAACCGTTCGCGCCCTCCCTCGCAGGTGCATTACACGTACGGCACACGCCTGCTGGCGTCAGCTCCCGAAAGCACGGTGGCCCACAAAGTGAGCTCCGCCCTCTCACTTCTTTGTCACTTCTTTAACTCGGTTCTTTTCTTCCCAACCTCCCTTCCTCCCATCCTCCCTGCCGCCCTGCAGGTCGACCTCGCAACCGGAGAGGGCTTGAGGGAGGTATTTGAACAGGCGCGTGGGGAAGGTGGCAGAGTCCCGGGAACGACACCCCTTCCAACCCCTAAAGCACACACACACACAAACACACATGCAGAAACCGGGGGGGGAGTTTCTGTGGCCAAAGGGTATGTTCCTAGAACCTCCCTCACTACGGTGGCTGTTTGGCCCCCGATGTGGTCACAATGTATCCAGTGTAGCGCGTCGCGGGCAATGCAGGCCTGCAAACACGACGACGGTGTACATACATACATACATACATACATACCTAGCGGCGGCGGCTTACCACGCACGTACCACCCGCATGGACATCATCAGTGCGCCGCGCCGCACTGCCCTGCGCGGAGCTGGGTCCGCCTAGCCGCCGTCATCACCACCTGTCCACCGTCCGCCTGACACCCCCACCCCAACCCCCCCACACACATGCAGACCGCCTTCCACGCCGTCGTTAACTGCGCCGCCGTCAGCCAGCCCGGAGTGTGCGAATCATCACCTGAGGTGGCCCGGTGGGGACGGGGTTAGGGGTGGGGCGGGGTGGGGACGGGGTCAGGGGCTCAGAAACCCCTCGGGTCCTACCTCGGGTCCCACCTCTGGGCACCCACAACCCGCCGCCCATTCACCTGCGGCGGTAGCCACCCCGTGCACACATACACACAGCAGGTGGTGGATATCCCCATATTCCCCCGCCTCCCCTTGTCCGTTCGTTACCCGCCCCTCGTTCTCACTCAGGCGCCATGTGTACCGTATCATACAGTATACATACAGTCTGTATGTATGCATTATACATGCGTGTATATTTTTCGTGTACATTTATGCATGTATATAGAAAGAGAAAGAGAGATTTTGACGTCATACCTCTCCCCCTACAGGTCAGTCAACGTACCCAGCCACCTCGCGCACTGCATGTTGGACCAGGCGCGCAGAAGGGGCCTCTGTGCGACCCTGATCCACTTTTCAACCGACCAGGTGGGCTATGGATTGGACTACGGGTCCTGGCGGCGGAGGGGAAGAAACATGTCGGTCATCAGGACTATACATGAATACGAACAGTCGTCTGGCTGGAGTGGGGCTGAACTAATGCACGCTTTGGAGGCGGAGGGAAACCGGGATATGGATGGTATTCGCGTCCGCCTGCTTTTCGTTGATCTCAGAAGCTTTTCTGTGTATTTATATGTTTCCTTGAAAGGCTAGTTTTGTGCTTAAAGGGGTAGTGATGGAGTAGTGAAGGAGTAGTATTTTATGAAATATTTCGAGTCGTGAGAAGCTCGCTCGACCTACGCCCGAGCTGCCACTGCCCGATACTGTGCGTCGTTGTGTGCACTAAGTGTCACGTCGCCCTGTACAGGGCAATAGGCAATAGGTACAGTTTTTCGTCTTGACAAGTGGCGCGCGGTAGGACGCATTCGATGTTTGCTACATGATGCCCGCTGTGTGTTTCACGACAGGTCTACGATGGCAGCCACGCGTTGTGGAAGGAGGGTGAGCCGTGCGGCCCTGTCAACACGTACGGCAAGACAAAGTGGGAGGCTGAGCAGTACATTCTGGCGAGTGGATACTAATAATAATAATAATAATAATAATGATGATGATGATGATGATGATGATGATGATGATGATGATGATGATGATGATGATGATGACGACAATGGCGCTGGAGAACACCTTCCCTATCGGAGACCCAAAACACAGAAGCACTTCTCACGGGAGTATTTCCCATTCCAGCGCTTCCGCAGCTTTGGGGCTGAGTCCCGAAACTGCCAGATCCCTCAGTATACCTCCTCCTCTCCAAATGACGTTTTCATTTCATACCATTACAAACCATTTCGTACCGGCTCCATGCATTACTCCGTAGACGACGTGTCACGAAAATCCATCAAATTTCTGTCCTTCCCTCTTCTTTCCGTCTCACGACGGTTTGCTCGTCAGCTTCACTCCTTCACACCCCACACCCCGCTGTTTGGACCCGGGCCCTCTTCTCCCCGTCCATTCGTCCGCTGCTATGGTCGGCCGCAGTCGAGGCTGCCGGAGAGCACCCCGGTCGCCATTCTCCGGGCCAGCATCATTTACGGGCCACCGCCGCCCGACCCCGTCAACCGGGCGCTCTTCCTGCAGTTCGTGGTGAGGCAGTCGTAGTAGTGGGGGTACGGAGCCCAGCTGATATGGGTGGGATGGGAGTTGGTGGCCAAATGAGGTGGCGTGTCTGCAACGCGATCCCGCACACGCGATTGATAGATTGGCAGTGTGGTCCGGAGACTGGTTAGGTGGATTGGGACCAACCCGCTAATTGGGCGGCCAAATCGAGTCATGGCGTACTGCCGGATCGCCTCCAGGTTACTCCGGGAGCCCCTGGGGGTGGGATTATTGGGTTGTTGTTCTGTACAGCATGCGGGTCCTGTGTACACCTGCAGGCCAACACGCCGGGGGCCCTGCTGCTGCACATCACCCCCTCCCGGTTGTGCCTGGCAGGCATCGGCAGTTCGTGGCAGCCAGCCCACCGCCTTCTTCGAGGACGAGTGGCGCAGTCCCATCTACGTTCGGGATTTGGAACGCCTGGTTACACGACTTCTTGCGTTGGCTGCAGTGGTGGTGGTTGAGGAGCCTGGGTCACAGCTGACGGCGGCAGCAGAGGGTGAGGGTGCGGTGGAGACGGCACCGGAGCCCCGCCAGACACCCGCAAGACCTTGGCAGCACCGCATCTTCAATGTGGGAGGCCCGGAGAGGCTTTCCCGTGTGGACATGGCCCGCCAGGTGGGTGACCGGGTGCATGGCCCGCCAGGCGGGCTGTAACAGGAATTGGGCGGTCGACTGCTGGGACTCTGCTGGCCATACTGGCTATGTCTATGATGCAGCTGCTGAGTAATGTTGGTGTAACCTTCGGTGCCCTTCGGGTTCCCGAAGGGTTCCCTGATCGGGATCCCTTATCGGGGCACTACTGTCCAAGGCAAACCAAACCTTGCGGCCGTTGCTTGTTCGCGGCAGTGCTTTTTGGGGGCAGTTGTAGGAGGGCTGCTGTCCGTGGCTATTGGCCCCGTTCTACTAATTTGAGACAGTTACACCGCCCATGCTGTAATGCCACTTCCGCGTATATGTAGCCTGGGGAAATGAAAAGGGAGGTGGAGCTGATATCTACCGCTGCAGCGTTCTGGTGATTGCGCGTTTGTGGTGACCGCCTCGTGTGTAGTGCCGCACAGCTCCATGAAATGGAAATGAATCTCAGCGACACTTCGCCCTTCTCCGCACGCCACACCCCACCCGCCTCCATGCGAATATCCCCACCGCATCCCCACTCTGTTGCTTCAGGTGGCGGATGCCCTAGGCTGTGGGTATGACGCCATCTTGGCCACATCTACAGCGTCGGTCAACAGGTGTGGTCCTAGGGACTGCATCACCGCGCACCATACCGCATGCTTGAGGGGTTTTTACCTAGTGCAGTCCGCGCAGCCCACGCAGAGTCTCACTGTAGATCAGTATTAATTAGTTCTAATGTACCATTATGATGAGACGCTATCACCCCTGCATCCTATCCATGTACGTTTACATTCTGCACCTTCGGGTATGGAGCATCTGGGGCAGTGCTAGAAGTAGCGTCCGTGCGTTACGCGATGGAGCCAAAATATATATAGAGTCAGAGTCAGTTGGCTCTGCGCGGCAATACCATCCAAACACGCTCATGTGTGTGCGTGGTCGAAGGCGGAGACACTTTTCCTTGGCGCTACACATACGTCGTCAGACGTATGCCGAGGAGGGCACAAAAGAACCAAGTCATGAACGATAACGTCTGGCAGATTACGTCAACACACGCAGCGAGCAGCATGCAAGGACATGAAGAAGTGCGAACAGTCGTTATTCACACGTGTGGATGTGTGCTGTGCTGTTGAGGCCGAGCCGCAATTCACTTCACAGCCACAGGGAGCGGACTTCCACTCATTACTCTTTCAGGCGCTTTCCATGCCACTGGCTGAACTTGCCGGCCACTTCGACGTTTCATGTCAGGCCCTCCACATCCTCGTTCAACGTCCCCACCCAGCCACACCCGGAGTTCCCGTGGCGGACAGGATCGCTAGTGGTTTTCATCACCTGCCGCCGTAGGACATTACAGCAATCCTGCACACAGGTCTATGCGGCCAACATCCACCTATGCTGCCTACAACCGTCCTATGTTTCTCCTCATTATTCCCTCCTATACGCCACGGCGTTTGGCATGTCCAAATTGTTTGATATGGCCACACCCGCACTACTCCCCTGTGCTGCCCTGTACTACCCCAACTGTGCGGCCACCCCGCGGCCCACCAGGGGGGTGGCAAGTCCTGCAGACATTTCCATGGACGTGTCGCGCTTGACAGACGGGCTGCATTTCCGCACCACCCCCTTTCGCGAGGCGTTGAAGGAGATCTTCCAACCGCAAACGGTGCCATCGCAAGGGGAGCATTACGCATGAGCCGGACACGAGCGAAAACCTGAAGGACCTTTCCACACCTGGCCGGTTAGCCAGGCTTACCTGCAATTGCCACTCTTCCAGGGACATTGAGTTAGTGGGCTGGCCCGGTCTTGGACATCGTAATCTAAGTGCGTGCGACTGTCCCGGTAAAGGCAAAATGCAAAGCCCAGTCCAGAGTTCTCCCTGGCCCCGCGGCATGTGCGAAGCCGGAAGGCGACTACTTGCAGAACTTGTCGCTCTTAGACGCCGCCCGAAGGTCCAGGCGCTCCTCGGCTGAAGCGGAGGGAAGCGGTCACAAGGCAAAAGTCAAGGCAGGGTTGACAAATGGGAGGAAGGCTTTACGGGTCGAGCAAAATCGAAACCGGAACCAATTCACGCGCTGGATGGAAAAGCGGGTTTTCGGTTTCGTTCTGCCGCGGCTGTGAAGACTGGAGAGTGGTGATCAGAAGGCAGCCGGCAACGAACTACCAGGCACAGCAGCGGCAGGGAGGCCAGCTGGCTGCGGCTGGGAAGCTGGCCGGGCTGCGGGCGCTGTCAGCCCATCACACTTGTAAACCCCCGCATGCAGGTGCTGTTGCATACCAGCAAGTGCTCAATCCGTCTGGACGTGATAGTACGCTCGACTGACTGCCACTTGGGGGGCTCGTCGTTAGTTGATGTCCGGTGCTGCTTGCTGACCCGTGAGCAGCTGTAGCACGGACACATTCTCGTGGGATGGGACCAAGCAAGGCGGCTATATCATGCACTCCGTAGAAATTGCCTTCCATACAAATTTGGGACGGAAATGATGTTTCATGTTGACATTTTTTTGTTGGGACGCGCCACCTGTTCGCACCCGTCAGCAAACGATCTCTCTTTTCTGTATTGCCTCCTCCCTCTCCCTCTCTCTTTCCCCCCTTCTCTCTCTCTTTCTCTCCCTTTCCCTCTTTCTACCTGTTTTGCCGGTGACCTTGGCGGTATAGCCGTGCAGAATGGCAGGTGGGGCGCGGTAACCACAGCCCCACGGCGTGCTCCTGGCTTTGCCCTCCTGCAACACCCCCAACAACCCAGTGCGCGGAGAGGAGTGGGGAAGAGGGGACGACAAATTGGATCCCAATGGGCAGACGGGACGTGGACGGCGCAAGGGGGGGGGGCCGTGATCTGAAGCAGTCGCCGGGCGTTCGCAGATGTGCAGTTGCGCAGTCCCTAATGCAGGCAGATGTGCTTTTTTATGCGTGACAGTTTTCCTCACAAGATGGCTGAGCTTTTACTTCCTCTCTCCCTTGCTGTTCTTGCGAATTCCTTGCTTTTCTCGTGTTATGTTTGAGAGCCATAGACGGGGTTTTGGGGGCCTATGTGCGGTGATAGGCGGCTGTCCGCGCTTCAATACCCCTGGCTGCTTGAACCTAGGAGGAGTGTAGGGCAGGGAAGCGACTAATGTGGGTTTCAAAGGGCACTGGAAGGAGGGCGGCTTTAAATGGATGAGGAGAACATAATATGACGCCTGATGGTGCGATGTGCGATGTGGTTCGGCCAGAGCATTCGAGGCAGTGGAGGCAGGTGCCTGGCCAGGAAGCTGCAGAGCCCGCACACAGGGTTGTGGGATTTGGATTTGGGTGGCGAGGTGGGTACAGACATGCGCATGGCCCGAGGTCCATGGCCATTTGTTCTCGGGTCGAACATTGAAGTTATGGAGCCTGAAGGTATCTATCGGGACAGGGCATGGCCGATTGCAAGCACATGGCACGAGGGCCGCACTTTATTAATAGGCAATCGCACTGCCTAGCTAAGCGACCCAGGCCTAGTGTAGATCCCACAGGTCTGAGCAGCCGGTGGGAAAAGAAGGAGGCTGGAGACAAGGTGGCCTCGGATTGCAGAGGAGTTTGCTCACCTTGACACGCTTGGTCTCTAAATCGAACTCCTCCTCGTACGTCTTGCCGCTCATGACGTTGACAGCCGTTGCAGCCACCTAAGGGTTTACGAGGCAGCCCAGTTCCGCAATTTGGAAGGTTGGTATTATTCGGGTATTGTTAGGTACGTGGTCAACGCGCCTTTTGAAGACAGGAAGATTGGCCGTGCCCTAGGAGGGGAACTCTCACGGATGCAGCAAAGAAACCAAGTACCACGGCGATGCGCGTTCCTAGCACCTCACAAATTGCTAAGCCTTGAGCCGTTGGCGCCCAAAGCAGGGGGTACCGTAGTACTTCGCAACCCACCGGTTTGGGCTTTGTCGGGTCCAGAGGGGGCGCCTCGTGTAGGCCACCGTCGACTTCTTCCCCGCCTTCTTCCTTTTTTTTAACTTTCTTGCCCTTCTTTTTCTCCACCCCTTGTAGCTCCTTTAAGGTTGCGCCGCCTGTAGGGGGCGGAAGTCAGAGAAACCACTATAAAAAGGACAATCAGTATTCATGCCGTTTCCTGTAGGCTATCTGTCCTTTGAAACCGTACCCTTCAGGACTAATTTGCCCCCTAATGGCATTCTGGTGTTGCTTGACAACGATGAAGTGACGATGTTATTATGCCCTCAGCTTAAGCAAACAAACAGGTCGTCTAAGTTTCTTTACATTAATAGTTATGCGATAATAGTCTTAAACTTTTAGATGCAGGGTGCCAGGTTGCGCTTTTAGGACTTTGGAGTTGGAGTGCAAGTCGCAGGTACGCTTGGTAATGTATTTAAACTGTCATACAAGGTCACTTTATCCTTCAATAGCTCATGAAAACGGCAATTGCTTGGCTGCTGAGCATGGTTGTCATACGCAGGACCTTGCCATACACCGCACGCCGTACACCGCGTAGCACGCCAAAACCATTCCTACAGTGCAGCATGCTGTTTTCTTGTCACAGCTAGCGTGTGCGGATGTTGGGTGGGACTGGTTTGCCAAACAGCTACCTTTTTCGCTGCTAACGGCGATAAAACAGTAGATAGAAGCTGTGCTGTCTTGAACCCCGGACTCGGTCTTGCACCCTCCTCAGGTATTCTGGTATGACTACGGGGTTCGACTTGGCTCCAGCGCCTTTCCATTTAGTATATTTGCAGCCTGGCAGTGTACAACGACCTACAGCGACGTTGCGGCACCGAAAACATGCCAACCGCAGCCCCCCGCCGCCAAGATTTTGCCATGTCCGTTTTCCGTATCTGTCAATTCAGATGCCTCTGCGGTATGAAGTCTGAAGTCTGACCCTCCTTACATACTCACGTTTGCTCACGGCAGCATGCAACGGACCACTGTGGTAATGCAGCCTGTCTGTTTGTTTGTGAAAGTTTAGCAGCAGCAGTCAAACCATGGAAACGTGCTTCTTACCATATTCAACGACCGACGATCTTTCAGCGGCCATGCAGAGAAGTAAAATCTGGCAAAGGTCAGTAATTAGTACCCTCGCATCAAGTCCCTCTTCAGTCAGCCCCATAATCAACGATTGCCAAACCCTGTGACTCAGATCAGAGCAACTTGGCCCGAGCCATCCGCAAAAAGCAAAATGACCGGCGGCGGCTACAAACCATAGAGTAAGCGTAAAAAACAATGCGCGCGCAACTAATGTTGAGCACAAAGTTTTGGGGACAATGTCTGTGTTACTCCGAAATGAAAGAGTACAAGGCGGCACAAGGACCAAGAATAGCTTTGCAAAAGATTTGGTCTTGCGTGAGCGTGAGCGTGAGCGGGCGCATGCACGCAAGGAGCCAGCCATGGGCCCTGTAAGGCGGTACTGCCACCGCCGCAACTGTATTATCACCAACTCTCCCACTACTCCTAATCCTACTACGACTACCCGCCCCATCGCTGCCAGCCGTGCAAGCCCTTCTCCCAAGGCCATACCATCACCACCACCGCCATATCCTTCGCTTGCACATTCAGGCACATCTGTGTCCGCAGGCAGCGATGGTCACAGATAGTTATTCCACTACTGCCCAAGATACTTTATTTCTCAAGGAAACGGCCGTGTATGTACGCCTCCAAATCGCAACGCAGAACACTAGACGAGTAACCCTAAGACCTACCCCACCACCCGCGGCGTTGCTTCTTGGCGGCATCATGCGACTCGCAAACTCTCACCGGGCGGGGAATCGCGCGTGCGCTGTGCGACTCCCTCTCAACCCCGGATAAGTTGCGTCGTGTTTGGGTTCATGGCGGATGGGCGGATGGGGTCGAGGGCTGGCCCACTCGAAATCTCTGCTATCCTAGGCCACCGGCGCGATCCATTCGGCTACCATCGAAAGGAACGCGTGGTGGGTTTGCACCGGGCGCGCGTCTCCTTTGACTGGGCCTCAGTCTTGCAAAGTGAAATGATATTCTGTAAGTTATCAAGCCAAAAGGCAGGAGAAGCGCGTCACAGAACATATAGGCACATATACACAAGACACGCAACGTACCCTACCAACACGTAAACTAATCAAAGACGACGCGCATGCAAGGAAAATGATGACTCCTCCTTCCAGCGGTTCGCAATACACACATTGTGTTGATAGCATTGCAACGACTCACATGGAGAGTTTCTATTCAATCTCCAAAAGAGGATATTCTCATGATGCAACAAACAACCTGCAATCGCATTTGTGTATGTATGCTTGTCGGGTGGTCAAGCTTGAAAGTGTAGCGGGGTAACGGGGCGGAGGGCACACGGTAGCGAGCCGCCACCGTCACCGACGCCCCGACGCCGCATCCCTGCGGCCGTGTTCATCTTCAGGAGGCGTGGCGGAGAGGGACAAACTCCGTGTTGTTGGTGAAGCCGATGCGGCCGCGAGCGCGTGACATGACGTGGGACAGGGAGGACGTCCGCAAGCTGCCAGACCGGGGCCAGGTGCTATGCAACCACACCGCAAGTCGTTGCATCCGCAACCGCCATGTATTCAAAACACCCGCGTAAGGCCTAAGCGGCACGGCGGCCGGACCTGCTCTCAATCAAACCAGTGGGTTCAGCCAGGCCTCGAGGGAGGGCGTGGAGTGGCGGTCAGGCGTGGGGATGGGCAGGGGCCAGATGCAACCCGCCCGCCGCAGTTAGCAATGGCACACGCCCATCCCCACCCCATGCCTTGCTGCGCCCACGCGTCAAGTGACCCATCCCCTCCCAACAGCCTTGCAGACCACAACACATCCCGTCCTAAATGCAAACCTCATTGATCCGTCGTAACAGCGCGCGCGAGACGAAAATCAAATTGATAATCTGTTCAGTTCGTGCATGTCGCCATTAAGCCTGCGGGCCACCCAAGAAATTTGATGTGGTAGATGTGTTCAAGGGGCGTCGTCGGCAACAGTCGCGGCAGCTGTGTCCAGCTGCCACCACCATCACTGGCACATCGCCATTATTAACAGCAGCTCCAGAGGCCGCCGCATATATCATCTTAAGCTGCTCATGGATGGGTTCAAAGCTTCCGTAGACTGCCCATCCACAATCATCATGATCCGCACGCGTGCGGACTACTCCTCACTCTCAGAATCCTCGCACACAGAGCCACGTGCGGCGGCTTGTGCGCCTCAAACGCTCCTCAAGCCCAACACAGCCCAACGCAGCCCACAAACCGCCGAGTGACGCAGGACGCGCTCGGTGCGGTATAGAACGGCGCATCACGCAGCGTTCAGTGATGTGCATAGCACCTGGTTTAGAGTTGGCCACGCCCCGCGCCCAGCTGAGCTGCGTCTCTCCTTCCAGAGCCCCCGTGTCAGGTATACACGGATACGCCGGCGACCGGTCTGCGGCCCGCCGTCGCTTCCTCGGCGCGCTGCTGCATGCTGTACGTGCGCCAGCGACGGCCGCTGGGCGCCTGGCCGCTCTCCCTCACGTTGCCCACGTTAACCGTCTGTGACTGATCGAGCTTGTTCTTGATCGTCAGACCCACAACCGCCAACACCACGGCACCGCCGACCGAGCCAATGACGATACCGGCAATGGCGCCCTTGGACAAGCCCTTGTCACTGGATGACTGAGCTGACGGAGTAGACGGAACTGACTGAGCTGACGGAGCAGAAGGAAGCTGTTTGACTACGCAGCCCTTTGCCATGACATCGTAAATGGAGATTTGGCCGGTGCTCAGCAGCTTGTTGAGGCCTTCGGCAGTCCCGGCCTCGCAAGCGCCGCTTTCGCTAGACACCGAGCTCGCCACCTTCTCCGTCGTATACTGCACGCGCATAGCCGTCTGGGCGCCCGAGGCGTCGCAAGTACCGCCAATTGTGTTAAGAGTCGTGCATGTAGAGCTTGGCGTGGTAGCAGAGGTGCCTTGAGGTGATGGATAAGTGAGGAAGACGTTGAGCAGTTCCGGTGCGCCCGAAGTGGTCGTAGTTTGGAGGAAACGGCGCTTCACATCCGCCGATGCCGACTGTAGCCCAGCCTTGTCCAAGAGCCATGAGGAGGCGCTGATGAGTGTGCGACGCAGCCGCCGCAACAACGACTCGCCGTAGGTCGCGGCCGCGTAGCGGCAGTTGACGTTAATGCCCGTTGTGTCGCTCAAGTTTAGAGCCTTCTGGACTTTCTGTGTGTACGCCAGGATGCTCGCGTCGGAACAGTCGGCCAAGAGACTGTAGTCAGCGAACTTGATCGGAACAGTCACGTACGTCCTGCAGTGGTTTCGGAGCATGGTGCTTTTAAGGCAAAGACAGCAACTAAAAGTTCTCTTTGGTCGGTCTGAGACTTAGGGTTGGTCTGTCTAATTTTTGGCTTTCCCTGGCGGGATACTGATACTGATACTGCAGGATTATTACTAAGTTATTCCCCTGTCGCAATGTTTGACCAAATTCGACCCGACGTCTGGACTCACCCGGCGTCCGCCAGACCCGAACCAGTTAGCGAGGCGAGGGAAATGTTGGCGGTGATCATGAAGTCCGTGGTAATCTGCGTTGCAAATGTAGTTTGGGGAAGCAGTCAATCAGTCAGTCAGTCGTGTATCAGTCACCGCATTGTAGCACCAGCCTACTTCGGCATCATTTGCTCCTACTCCAAGAATTCCCAAAACGCACTTTTAAGCTATCCTTGTCCGTTGCCACAAATATCCTCCGGCCACGTCGGTGCCCCGACTCACCTGGACCCGTGGGACACTGGCAGGTCCCGGAGGTGGTGCCGGCGGCGCAGGTGGCGGCGACGGCGGCAGCGGCGGATTCGGGGCCTGTGAGCCCTTGATCATTCGGAGAATAGTCGCGGCAGCCAGTCCATCCACGTCAAAGGTGGCGGGGATGTAGTACATGATGGTCAGGTTGGACAGCGGTGACAGGGAGAGTCTTTGCAGGGTACCGCCAATGACTGGCGAGCCTACGGTCGAGTTGTATGTGGCGACGCTGCCGTTCGTCATGTAGAGGGTCACATAGATCTGCATGCCGAACGGTGCTGGGAAGAGGATGAGCTCGTACGAAGCTGGCGGTATGAGCGCGATGTTGTGCTTGGTGACCTGGTTGATCGACAGATTGTAGGGCTTCCCTCGGAACTTCTCCGGCAGGCAGTCGCGTCTGCGTTAAGGAAGGGAGAGGGGCGCAGAAGGGGAACATAAGGCAGGTTAGAGAAGGACCGGTGTTAGATGATGGGCTTCTTTGGCATCATGCGGCGAGGAAGCCTCCCTCAACCAAACACCTATAAAACTGTTAAATCCATCTGCCTGTTCGTACGTACACAGAGCTGGAAGGAAGTTCTGGCGGTCCGCACGCAGTGTAAACGTGTTTCATCCCAAGGTAAACCTGGTCAACCTACGAGAGCTGGCAACCACTGCATGCATGTGCACCGATCCCACCGCGACCCGCAAAGGACCACCACGCCGCGCCGCAGCCAACTTACACCCAGCAGTGGCTCCAGGCCATCTCGCGCATCAGAATGTCTGCAAAGCGGGAGGATGGGGCGGTGGGAATCATCAGGTATCAGGCAACGAGAATATGGTGCTTGAAGCTGCCGGGCTCCGAAACATGGAAGGCACGAAGGGCGCGTGCACGCGCGAACCGCGCCGTTGGGAGTAAACATCTGAACAACCACGTCTGGGGGTGTATATGTGTGTTCGTGTTTGTGTTTGTGGGTGTCAGTGCGCGTGAGAAAGTGACACATTGCGGGAAGGAGAGGGAGAGGGAGAGTCACACCGAACACTGCATGTCGTTGCGCGTGCGTGTAGCACGTGCTATATATGTATCACTCGCAACAACGCGCACTCAGCCGCACCTCAGTCATGCAAAGACTCACCATAGTTCGGCCAGGGTACACATTGATAAAATTCGGTGTTGTCTTCAGTCGTGTTGGCCAAGGTGGCAACCATAGTGGCGTACGTGCTGTTGCACAGCCCGAATGAGCCGCCAGTGGTGTTCTCCGGTAGCAGGGGGCAAGGGCAGAGGGTGTTGGCCGGGCGCGGTGGAGGCGGAGGCCGGGGACCGACTGCATCCATGACGACGGCCGCCGACAAGTCATCAAAGCCGGGGGGGATGGTGTAGGTGAAGGTCATGTTGCCAAAGCCGCCATCAGGCAGCTGCACGGTTGAGCCGTCGTCGATGTTGGTGTAGGTGATATTTCCAATGGTGCCGTTCTTGGCATGGCCTGCGTACATCGGAAGAGGGCGTTGTTGGACGAAATGTAGCAACTTCAAGAGCGTCATCATTGCCATCATGACCGTCAACGGTCATGGATATTAGGATTGCTGGGTCCAGGGCAATTCTGAAGGGTCCGGTGCAATGCCGTAACAGGTATACCTCAACGACAGGAGGGCTCAGGCGCGTCGAGGCCCAGGCGAGCGAGGGAGGATGACGTCGTCCCCACACGGCCAAAACAATTGTTGCAATCAGTCGTCCATAGCCCCCGGACGTTCATACGTTACGGATGGGGCCCCCAACTTGCGCCGAACTTATAGCTGGAAACTTGACAAGCACAACACACACATGCCCTCGCGGCGTCTTCTGCTGCAATAACTCCGATGGCGCTGATCGTACACTGCGCATGCAGCCCAAGGGGCCCCCACGCACTCACCAATGGCCACCATATTGACGCCCTCGGGTCCTTGGAAGTCGATGGAGAAGTTACCTCCCATCTTGGCGATGTTCCAGCGCTCCAAGTGCGGGCAGGTGGCGGTGAAGCGCGTGGTGGAGAAGACGGGCGGCAGGCAGGCGTAACGCCAGCAGAAGCTGTGTGTGTGGAGGGGGCGGGGAGCGGCGGAAAGAGTGAGTTCGGGAGGAGGAGCAGGCACGTGTGTGGGACAATTGATCGGAAAATTGCGAGTGAGGATAAGACTTAAACGCGCATGGTGAGATGGAGGCGGTGGATTGGTGCAAGAGCATGGCACCGGACTTTTAATGGTCTTTCCGAGAGAGCATTCACACTCCTTACCCTAGAACCCATTACGTTGTCGAGGCGAATACAGGACAAGCGGTACCAGTAACTTGACACGTTGCAAACACAAAGAAAAGTTCGGTGGTGTGCATAGTTATACTTCTGTGCATAGTCATACTTCTGTGCATAGTTATACTTAAGTGCACACGTACCTGTACGCCATCCTTCCGGTTCGCGAGTCGTAGTTGGCTGGGTCGATGCACTGCGCGTAAGACTGACCTTCTGAGATGTCCAACGTAGACAGATAGATGGGCACCTGCGTGCGATGAAATGGTGCCCATGGTATGAACGCCGTACAAGCGAGCGTGCGAATCAAGCAGGCCCCATTCCCCAGCCGAGTCCCGGCAAGATGGGAAGACGCAGTGCAGTCGATGTTTACCTTGTAGCCCTGGCATGTGTTATTTTCAGGGGTATCCCAGCAAGGGCAGGCCGCGGGCGGGATGGGTGGCGTGAGGCCGCCGGCATCATGGACGGGGACCACCGCGAACACAATCCTGCAGAGGAACAAGTAACGGTAATCAAGCCATATAACTCGGATCCGGAACGCAACGGCCTTCTTTGGCTCACGGTTCTCTATCAGCGGGCGGGAAGGCGTTTGTTGGCATTGCATCAATTTGCACGGCCTTGCTCTTTTAAATGCAAGAAAAGTCTTGACATTGCGGGTATATGCAAATGAGCAAGACTCATTTGAATCCTGCAGACCTAGCTGACCTTCGAATTAAAAAAGGTGCGGGTACATGTCGCTCACCAGTCGTCATTGCAACCCGCCTCCATGGCCACGTCCATGTCCAAATTGTCCAGACCAGGCGCTGGGATCCTCAAGAGCTGCTGGTTGGTTCCAATCTTGTAGGTCCCCACATTATTGACCAGGTCAACGATAGTGGTGGGCTTCGCGCACTCGGGATTTAGGTGGGTCACCACCACAGGCGTCTCCGCCAGGCGGTTGCTCGGCAGTGCTGGCGCCAGGTCCATGTTGTCGAAGTAGACCCTGAACGGCTTGCCGGCCAGAGAGCTCAGCACCTCACAGTTCGTACTCCAACAGAAAGCAAACTGTCGGAGATAGGGATGCAATCGATGAAAAGAGGTGGCGTTAGTTCGCAGTTTTGCAGGCTTTAATTAGTCATGCGCATTAGTCAAGCGCATTACCTCAAGCATATTGGACCATCAGTTTATGATAATAGAAGCATTTCAGCGGATACATAAGTGCTAGTTTTGTATGCTGCCTGCAGCAAAAGCAGCGCACCTTGTAGATATCCGTCACGTTGTCATGTCCGAATCTGGGCACGCAAACCTGAATCTCCGGAACACTTGTATCATAGCGGTTAGTTCCAGACCTGAACCTCAAAATAATATTGTTATCAGGGCAGGTCTTCGTAGTTGCGTCCAGGGCTGGCAGCTTGGAGCAGTCGCAACTGCGCGGGCAAGAAATGTTCAGCATGTTTAGGGAAGATTGACGATCTCCCAAGGCTTTGCCTGGCATAGAGGTTGTTCGATGACACAGTCGGCGAACAACCAATAAAGTGTGGACATGGAAGTGAGAAGGAAAGCTGATGAAGGGACAGAGGCTGCGCGAAAAC